GTCTGGAAAGATCTTTATTGAACTGAATTCATCTTCTGTAGGTTTTTTTTTTTCTGTTTGTTGAGGGTATCATCTCCTTAAAATTAAAGGATTGGAAATGAATAATAACGTCTCTTGGAGAAGTCTCTGGTGCAGTTTTGGGTTAAGACAAGCGATGAAGACGTTCCATGTTGACATGTCTATTCTTCTATTTTGTCGATGGTTATATCTTCTGGTATATCTCTAAACCTTAGGTTATTTCTTCTCAAGCGGTCTTCTATCTCTGACATTTTACTTTCTTATAATTTACATTTTGATTGTAAAGTGCTGTAGGAATCCTTCATAACGACATTTTGGAATTCCAATGCTTCAAATTTGTCATCAAGTACTTACATTTTTTGTGTAAGTTGTAAGATATCTGATTTTAGATCTTTTTTGTTCATTTGGATTTTGGTTTTTATCTTCTCAAATTGAAGTTGAAGGCTTTTATCGAGTACTTCAGGTGTGATTATAAATAAATCAATAAATATCTTCCAAGCATAGCCCACCTCTTGCTCCTTGATTCGATGTTCACTCTATTCACTCACTGACCTTGTATCCACTTTTTTTTATTCTTCCCACTATGTTTATTTTGCTCTGCCGAGCCCACACCACTATCTCTGCCATGCTGCTATTCAGGTCCGTTCCTCTCCCCACACTTCGTACCATCTGAAGCGCGTGTGGCATCTTACGTCATCGTCGCTCCTCCCCCTTTTTTTGGCTGTAAACATCTTTTTTTTTTTTTTTAGCATTTATTGGGTAAAATAAAGAAGTGGAGATAAGTGAAAAATGTGCTTACTTAAATTGCACTTCAGTGTTGGGGCAACTTCTTTACCAACCCATGTATGCTCAGACATCTAACAGATACATTCTGCTCAACTTTTCTCCTGTAGTGTTGTGCTCACAGAAATGTGCTCTGAAAAACAACAAATATGTTTAGAATTCACCTTGTGAATGTGTGTATGTTCTCCTTGTTTTAAATCATTAGTTGCATAAATTGTTATTAGTATTAGTTATCTAAATAGTTCTGCACCTGGCCACCACCCTGAAAAGTGTCCCTCTTTGCTCATTTAAAATGTCAGGAGGAATGTAAAAGGTCAATACCCAGCTATTTTAGAACCACAACTTGCATGATGTTTTGCTATTTAAGACTGTCAAATAAAGACTGTCAAAGCATCTTGGGAGTTGTAGTTCTACTTGATCTTTGAATAATTGCTTTTCACCAATGTTGGAAGGGAGTTGGGCAGCATGTGTTTCTCTGCCAGTTGAAGACCAGTACGTGAGTGCAAATGAAGACATAGCTTGAAGTAGAAATATATAATCTTCTGATTCAATTAATTAATTAATGAAAGTTTTTCTTTTTATTAACAGTTACATCACTACATAAAAAAGCTGAAACTTACATCAGGAATGCAGAGGGATAATCTATTTAATGAATATGGAGAATTCCCATATTATTATTCGGTAATAAACAGGATAAAATTATCTAACGGGTCCATATTTTTAAACATTGTGGGTAACTTCACTGAGTGGGCACCAGAGGGCGAGCAGCTCATCATTGATACGAAATTAATAAAATGGAGAAACAAGGAAAATCAAGTGAGAGAAATTGTTACTTACTTTTTTGCTGTCTTGTATTTTTTTTAATATATGTTATTAAAAATTGTAATTAATATAGAAATTACTTCTAAGCTCCTTGAACCACACAAAATATTGCTGGAAAAATGTGGGGCAACTCTGTTACTGACAAATTGCTTTACAAGAATAATATGTTTTTTTTTTAATTAAAGTAGAATTTGACTGAGATAAGAAACACATTTATTTTCTATCACGTGATCTGAAACCTGGTCTACACTGCAGCCTATGACTGCCTTCCTACTCCACCACTGTCACCAGGCACAAGCTGGCCTTCATCCGCTCATTTTACTACCACTCTCCTGACTCCCCTCCCTTTCCTCCCTCCTCTCCAAACTGTTCTTCTCTCCCTGATATACCTTCTCATATTTATGTCCCTCCCATTCTCCTCTCTCCTACCCCCCTACACTAGAACTCTATTAAAGCCAACATTCCCTAAACTCCTAATTGTTATGGACCTCTCTGCCTTCCCTATCTTCACTGACATTTATCTTAATTCTCACCTCTGTCTATACTGATGACATCTTCACCTAACAAAACTAATTAATATTTCACTAGTGAGTATTATATGCCGACAGAGCTACCATTATAAATGTTGGGGTTTCTTACAAAGCTCAAGGCCTGGGCCCCCATGGCTCAACTCCAAGTTTTCCCACAGAGTCAGCACCAGAAATCACCTACAAAAATACAGTTTATGTGTTTGTAAAGATCTCATTGTGTATGTGTATAGTGAATGCCATGTGTGTATAGTGGATGCAGTGCCTTTCCCGCTTGTATATTAAAGGGGAGACCCTAAAAAAACCTTTGCTTCCACTATCCTTTCCCTCTATCCTGGCATTGTACATCATGGGAGCATTGCCATAGTAACTTATGGCAACACTCTGACAGCCAGAGTTCATGAGAGTCAGAAACTAGAGTTTAGAGTACCTTTGTCTGGCAAATCCCCCTGACTCCAGCCCAGGTCCCTTACAACTGTATGGGTTATACTCCACTAACAGCGAAACTGTATGACCTTTTCTGGGAACAGTCTCAGAACCTGCCAGCATATGGTATTCATGGAGCTTCAAATAAATGTTCAAAAGACCCACCACTAATACAGCAAATAAACATTAAGTGCAATAAAATATATACCATTATGAACACAATTGGCTTGTGCAAACTAAATGAGTGACCGAGACTAATGGCTCAATTCTGTTCATTCACAACATTAACCTTTATGTCGACATCAAACAAAATGCCATATTTTTCTTCATTTACTACAGCTGTGTCTAATGACTGTTGTAGCATAGCAAAAGTCAGAGTATTGTAAAAAATATGATCAGGCAGATACTGATACTGGATTAAGGGCAATCCCCTAATATAATATTTTGAGATAAGAAAATAAACTAGACTCCTATCGTGCACAAGAAAGTGCCTCTTTCTTAGCCCATCCTCTAACAGAGTGCCTACTTTGTTGAATTGTGTCACAGACTAGTGTGTAGTACAGACTGTATAATGCAATGCAGGAACTGAATTGCACAAAAGTTAGTTCATTAAAGTTAAACTATTCCTGGCTAATCCATGGCAGCATCATGATAGGGTTAGCTCCACCCGCTTGGCTATTTAGGACAGGAAACAAATTATAAATAGCACCTCCCTTCTCAGATGCACCAGTATTTTTTCCTGTCCTCTTGGCTGTGGACAAGATATAAGGTCAATTATTTTACCTTTATCACTTTTATTTTAGTTGACCTTGGCTAAAATTTACTTAGCATGTTCCAAGAGAGTTCAGCCTCTCTCTCTCTTGCAAGCCCCAGTGTGTAGCCCTGTAAAAAAAAAAAAAAAAAAAAGAACAGTCACTGGGTCTAAAGGAATACTAATTTCAAGAACTTTAAAAACTTCACTGTGATCCTATAGGTAACAGTGTGTTATGTGGTACATCTTCTCTATCAGAGTCCTTGTCTGAACTTAAATAGGCAGGACATTTTTCTCCTTTGCCTCTCTTGACCCGGTCAGAATTCTGGCAATAAATATGGCTTTAATAGCAGCACATATAGCATTATAGTTAAAATCATGGAGTGTTACATTGCTTTCTAAGAACAGTTTATGGTAACAATGATAATGATTTTGTGAATATAGGCGCGTAAACCAATGGTAATACAGAAGGGAGAGATCTGTGCTGCTACCACCAATGTGCAAGTCTCTCACTCCTTAGCACAAACACATAGTAGAAAATGTGTTCAACTGTGTGGTATAGAAAACCAACCCCAAAGAGGTTGAGCGCTGAAAATGAAATAACTCACCATCAGGAGCTGATATAAAATCTGAGGGGGAAAATAGCAAAAATTATGTAGTATATCAAAGTTGATCAGATAGGATAATTTAATAATTGGGTTCACTCACATGGTTCTGAGCCTCGTTAGGACAGACTCAGATCACTCTGGCAGGCGTGTATTAGGGGTCACGTACCCTCTAGATCAGGGGTTCTCACCGTTAGTCCTCAGGACCCCCTACCAGTCCAGGGTTTAGGGATTACCTGGGTGTGTCTAAGGTGTTTAGAAAAAGAAAAAAAAACACCTTAGAGTCTAAGGTGTTTTTTTCCCTTTTTCTAAACACCTGATTTTGCTTTGTTTTCATAGAATTATACACTTGATACTGCCTTTGTACCGTATTTATATTCTATTTTACCTTTTGCGCTGATCACCTCCCATATTTTATCTTGCTATACATTTCATAAGGGTGAGGGAACCTCTTGTTGGTGATTTGCTGCCATTTTTTGTTTGATATCGAGCACCTATACATTCAAAATTTTTACTCCATTTATATTTATATCACATTTCACTTTTTTCTGTTTTAGATTCCAAAATCTATGTGTTCTGAAAAATGTTTGCCTGGAAATAGAAAAGTCCCGAGACCAGGAGTACAATCCTGCTGCTATGACTGTGTCCCTTGTTCAGAGGGAGAAATAACCAACAGAACTGGTATAGTAAATTATTAACAAAATAATATAGCAGCATAATTAAAAAGTGCAATATTGCACTTAACACCTTTACTACAAAGCATTTGAAAAACATAAAACTACCAGTATGTATGTTGGGTGTCCTGTAAAATAATGTTTACATGTATTTTTTTGTTTAATTACATCAATTTATCTACAAACAATATATTTTGCTTACCTATCTTCGTTGAAGGTGGTGCAGGCTAGAAAGTCATCCTTGATGCTGCAGCTATTATGGAATGATCTGAATCTTTGCTGGAGCAGGGAAGCTGGGACATCTTAGCTCGCTTTTATGCAGTGCCTCCACTCAGTGATTTTATACTTCTTGGGTAACCCACAGCACTGAGACAATGAATACATCACCTATAACAATTAGACAGGCAACAATGACGAAAGACATTCCAAATATGCTAATATGAAAAGTAAATTAAATGCAATAAACTAACAATACAAACAGTGATTGTCTAAAGTTTAAATGCAACTGCTTGTTACTGTCGTTAATGGCATGGTTGTGATTGGCCAGTGCAGCATGTGACCCAGCTAGTAGGGGCATGTTTAATAAACACTGATCAGCCTGTGGCAATCCATATAAACTTGCGATGCGATTGACTGCGCCTACCATGGTGACCACGTGTAACGGGGAACTAGGGTTCGATTCCATACAGGGACCCTGACAAACGGGTGCAACATGCAAGGAAGGCAGCAGACGCGCAAATGACTGTGAAACTGCAAATTACTCGTTAAATCTGTTATGGTTATTTTTATCGCTTCAACTGTTACTTGGATAACTGTGGAAATTCTAAAGATAATACATGCCAACGAGCGCTAGGGGACAGTCACTTCGCTTTTGCACCCTGCTCCCTCTTTTGCCTCGCTGGTGCTACTGTGCGACCAGCGACTCTGGAATACTTGAGAATGGGAGTGCATCTTTTATTTTATTTCTGACTCCTTTGTTGTTTGTAAATTTATCCTATGATCTCTGTGAGGTGATAAATGGGGTGATAAATATTAAAAATAATATTTTCAGAAAAATTATCAAAAATTAATTTCATAATTTTTATTATATACAAAATTGACATCTTGTCACTGTTTCCCTGATTAATTATTTAAAGCTGAGAATTACCCACTATTTTAATTATCTTAGATCCTAGAGGAAGTTTCATTAGAAGATTTTATCTCACACATTAATTATTATTATTATTATGATATTTATAGAGCGCCGTCAAATTCCGCAGCGCTTTACAATGGGTGAACGAACAGACATGTAGTTGTAACCAGACACACAGGAACAGAGGGGTTGAGGGCCCTGCTCAATGAGCTTACATGCTAGAGGGAGTGGGGTAAAATGACACAAAAAGGTAAGGATAGTATTAGACTAGTGACAGTTGCAGAAGAGGAATCAGTCAGGAGCTATTAACAGTTTAATTGATACGCTTTTATGAAGAAGTATGTTTTTAACGATTTTTTGAAGGAGTGGAGACTGGGTGAGCATCTAACGGAGGAGGGAAGCGAGTTCCACAGGAATGGTGCAGCCCTCGAGAAAACTTGAAGGCGAGCATCAGAGGTGGGAGAACGGACAGAAGATAGACGTAAGTCTTAAGCAGATCGTAAGGGCCTAGACGGGACATACTTGTGTATAAGGAAGGATAGATGGGAGGTGGGAGCAGCATTATGTAGAGATTTGAAAGTAAGAACCAGAATTTTAAATTGAGCTCTATATTTTATAGGAAGCCAATGTAGGGACTGACAGAAGGGTGAAACATGGGAGGTGCGGGCGGACAGGAAGATGAGCCTCGCTGCTGCATTCATTATGGACTATAATGGCGCAAGTTGGGAGCACGTAAGACCACTGAGAAGCGGATTATAGTAGTCAAGGCGAGAAAGGACAGTGGAATGGACCAACACCTTAGTCGCATCTGGCGTTAAGTAGGGGCGAATGCGCGCAATGTTTTTGAGATGGAAATGACAGGATTTGGCGATAGATTGAATATGAGGCTTGAAGGAGAGGTCGGAGTCAAAGAGAACACCTAGGCAGCGAGCCTGCGTGGTGGAGCTGATGGTAGCACCGTTGACTTGGAGGGAGACAGACACAGGAGTAACAACACTTGAGGGAGGAAAGACCAGAATTTCAGTTTTGGTCAAGTTTAGTTTAAGGAAGTGGGCAGCCATCCAGTTAGAGACAGCAGAGAGGCAGTCAGAGACACTAGTCAAGAGGGATGGGGAGAGATCAGGAGAGGACAGGTAGATTTGCATGTCATCTGCATAGAAATGATATTGGAAGCCAAAGGAGCTAATGAGTTTACCAAGGGAGGCAGTATAGATGGAGAACAGTAGGGGACCAAGGACTGAACCTTGGGGGACACCAACAGAGAGGAGTTGGGGAGAAGAAGCAGAGCCAGAGAAAGAAACACTGAAAGAGCGCTGGGAAAGGAAGGAGGAGCACCAGGAGAGAGCAATATCTTGTAGACCGATATTGCGGAGGATGAGAAGAAGCTGTTACATAGAAACATAGAAACATAGAATGTGACGGCAGATAAGAACCATTCGGCCCATCTAGTCTGCCCAATTTTCTAAATACTTTCATTAGTCCCTAGCCTTATCTTATAGTTAGGATAGCCTTATGCCTATCCCACGCATGCTTAAACTCCTTTACTGTGTTAACCTCTACCACTTCAGCTGGAAGGCTATTCCATGCATCCACTATCCTCTCAGTAAAGTAATACTTCCTGATATTATTTTTAAACCTTTGTCCCTCTAATTTAAGACTATGTCCTCTTGTTGTGGTAGTTTTTCTTCTTTTAAATATAGTCTCCTCCTTTACTGTGTTGATTCCCTTTATATATTTAAATGTTTCTATCATATCCCCTCTGTCTCGTCTTTCTTCCAAGCTATACATGTTAAGATCCTTTAACCTTTCCTGGAAGGTTTTACTCCGCAATCCATGAACCAGTTTAGTAGCCCTTCTCTGAACCCTCTCTAAGGTATCAATATCCTTCTGAAGATACGGTCTCCAGTACTGTGTACAATACTCCACGTGAGGTCTCACCAGTGGTCTGTACAATGGCATGAGCACTTCCCTCTTTCTACTGCTAATACCACTCCCTATACAACCAAGCATTCTGCTAGCATTTCCTGCTGCTCTATTACATTGTCTGCCTACCTTTAAGTCATCAGAAATAATCACCCCTAAATCCCTTTCCTTAATTGTTGAGGTTAGGACTCTATCAAATATTCTGTACTCTGCCCTTGGGTCTTTATGTCCAAGATGCATTATCTTGCACTTATCCACATTAAATGTCAGTTGCCACAATTCTGACCATTTTTCTAGTTTACCTAAATCATTTGCCATTTGGCTTATCCCTCCTGGAACATCAACCCTGTTACATATCTTAGTATCATAAGCAAAAATACATACCTTACCATCAAGACCTTCTGCAATATCGCTAATAAAAATATTAAAGAGAATGGGTCCAAGTACAGATCCCTGAGGTACCCCACTGGTGACAAGTCCAAGCTTCGAATATATTCCATTAACTACAACCCTCTGTTGCCTGTCACTCAGCCACTGCCTTACCCATTCAACAATATTTGAATCCAAACTTGAAAGATTGCAGTTTATTGATAAGCCTTCTATGTGCAACAGTGTCAAAAGCCTTACTGAAATCTAGGTAAGCAATGTCTACTGCACCACCCTGAGCTATAATTTTAGTTACCCAATCAAAAAAATCAATAAGATTAGTTTGGCATGATCTCCTTGAAGTAAATCAATGTTGTCTCTGATCTTGAAATCCATGTGTTTTTTGGTTTTTTTTGATGATCAACAGTGTCAAAAGCCGCAGACAGGTCAAGGAGAATTAGGATAGAGTAGTGACCATGAGATTTTGTAGCGAGTAGATCATTGGATACTTTGGTCAGTGCCGTTTCCACAGAGTGCTTAGAAACCAGCCTGAAGCGGGTCTAGCAGAGAGTCGGACTCGAGGAAGTCTGTCAATCTTGCATATACAATTTTTTCAAGGATCTTGGATGCAAAAGGCAGTAGCGAGATAGGACGTCAGTTGGATGGGGAGTTAGGGTCCAGATTGGGATTCTTTAGAATTGGGGTTACAGTTGCATGTTTGAAGGGCAATGGAAATATACCAGAGGAGATAGAGAGATTGAGAATTTTAGTGAGAGGTGGAGAAAGAGAAGAAGACAAAGTACGGATGAGATGCGAGGGAATTGGATCTAGGGAGCAGGTGGTGGGGCGGGAGGACTGGAGCAGAGCAGAAACCTCTTCCAATGTAGCGGGTGCGAATGAACATAGAACAGCAGAGGGAGTGAAGTTAGGGGAAGTATTGTAAGGGGAAGAAGAAAGATGAGAGATCTCTTCTCTGATTGTAGAGATCTTGTCAGTGAAGAGAGTTGCAAAGTCCGAGGCGGTCAAGTTAGTAGGTGGAGGAGGAACAGCAGGGCGAAGAAGAGAGTTAAATGTGTGAAATAGTCATTTGGGTTCGCGGGAGAGTGTGGTTATGAGCGTATTGAAGTAATTAACTTTTGCATAGGAAAGAGCCAAGCTGTATGAGCTCAGCATAAATTTATAGTGGAGAAAGTCAGATGCACAGTGAGACTTTCTCCAACAGCGTTCAGCAGTTCTGGAGCATTTTTGGAGGTATCGAGTGAGCTTGGTGTGCCAGGGTTGTTGTTGGGGGGGGCCTGCGGTGTTTAAATGTATAAGGTGTCATGATGTCTAGTTGAGAGGAGAGGGTGGAATTGTAGATTATAATTAATCACAAAATAATTATAAAAATATTATTTATTGTGACAATAATAATAAAATAATAATAATATGTAACATGCGTGACAATCAGTGAATATTTAGGTATAACATAAGTATACAATATGGCACGGGTTTTAATACGATATAGACAGCTAAAAGTAACAGTTATATATGCAGTTTCCAACAAGATTTACGACAGGACACCGCCTAGAAACACAGAATACAGCATCTCACAGCAGCACAGCGTAAAGCAATAAAAACTTTGTCTGACAGTCAAATCACACTGAATTAACTCTTTCACTGCTAGCTACAATCCTCATCGGCCAGATATCCTATTATATTGCAAATTTTACAACTACAATAATTCTCATACCAGATCATTTACCATTCTTGTGTTCCTCCAATAAGAATAATTCTAACCAGATTTTACATTTGCAGAATTTTAACTTTCCTAATTAAGATTCACAATTTCTAAATTACATAAGCTTTTTTGGATAATTGCCTGGTATTCTATTGTTAAAGTTATATATAGAGTTCATTGGTCCACCTGCAGGAATGGAATTCCGAATTCTATATATTATTAATGAATCATGACTCCTTAATGTTTGGAATCACCAGCTTTTATCCAAGTATATTCTGCCTTTTATTAAATCAATTAAGTTAATTGTATTAAAATAAATTAAACCAGCATAATTACCAGTTAGGTTGTAGATTTTCTATCAGATGTATAGATATGACCCAGGAATTTTGAATGCAAGTATGATGAGAGAATTGTATGAGTTCTGAAGTTGCTTTAGTTGGAAAGGATACTAAGAATTAGGTGTGTCCAGCTTTGGCTCCAGATGTCAGATCTTAGCTGTTAAATGTGAGTCCATTCTCAGTGTGAGAGTGTCTAGAGAGTATGAGTCTGAGTATTTGAGAGTTTAAGAGTGGGAGTCTTGAGTCCAGTGCAA